CTTTTTTTATCATTCGAAACTTGCCCCGTTAGTGCTGTTGAATCGGCCGGTTTACCAGTTAAACCGGTTAAATCCGGGGCCCATGTCCGGTTAACCGTTCTGGTTCGATTTTGCAAACACTGGTCCAAACAAAAAATAAAAAAGGTAAAAGAAAGTAAAAGTTACATACAGTGATAAAGACTATAAAATGAGGGCAAAGAACAAGAAAGAGAAGAAAAACAAAGGAATGAATGGGGCACGAACTATAAGAATCCCATCAAATCCAATAACTGTTCCAAACTCCTTCATCATGCTTCTAAAAAAATAGAAGGATTCTACATGATAAAAGAACCCAAATGATCCATAGACGAAATTAATAACTCCGCAAAAAAAACCATGAACCACACTGGGAAGTTAAAACCCCTAAAACCCCTAAAACCCTACATAGAAATGGATATAGGGAGAGAGAAAGATGGTAGAGATAGAGAGGAGACAAAAAAAAATCAATCTAAACGAATCAATCATGGATTGATTTGAAGTTTTAGAGCTCACCATTTCTCGTGTAGGGACTCTGCATAGAGGCGAGGAGTCGCCTTCGTTATAAATTTCGGTGATTTTGAGCTTCCTTTTTCACTTTGATATGTCCTATGACACGATGATTTACGAAACGCTGATTTTTCCTTGCATTCACAGAGAGATTTGCAGCCACTTTGGATGTGTCATACACGTGAGAAAGGGCCACTTCTTTTATTGGTGTGTGGAATCGGACAATGACTATGAAAGGCGCTGACTTACTATGAAATGACGTAAGGGTCCCTAAACTTTAGTTATTAACGGGGGAAACGGAACAAGGAGGCAACAACTCATTATGAACTTTTGGATGGGAAATAGGGGTGACATTTATTCCATCGACAAAAGCTTAAATTTCAAAAAAAAACTTTTCAAACTTTAAGACGTATTAAATTTTATTTAAAAAAGTTATAAATAAATATAATCATTTTATATCAAAAGTAAATGATCTTAATGTACAATCTCAATTGAAAAAAACTTGTCCTTTTTAATTAAAAAGATTAAAATGGTCTCTTGCATTGTAGAAACAAACTAGAAAGATTGGGACCCCTAAAAAATTTACTAGTAAACAGCATGTACATAATTTTGGAAGTTTCATCCAATAGATTAATTAATGATAAAAATTCAATAAATCAAACACAAACAATAAAAAATTAAATTTTTTTAAAATAGAATGAGAGATGTGAAGAAAGAGGGTAAATATTGCTAAACTTTAATACTACAATAGATATCACAATAATGTACATGTATAAAATTTAAATTTATATTTAAATTTAAATATATATTTATACATATAAATTTATACATATAAATTTAAATATAAGTTACATACTAATTTACCATTGTGTCATGATTATCATACAATTCTAATTATATTCAATGGTGTTATTAATATTTTTGAAATAATTTGACATTATAATTTTTATATAATATTTTATAATAGCAAATAAAAATTGATATAGCAAAATAGGCAACATGTCGTATTATTGTAATTATTAACCGCATTGATTCAATTACAGATATTATTAAAAAAAAATATCTCTTTACCCTTTATTTTTTACTTCTTTTTCATATCAAAGTCAAGTTTTGAAAATTTACTTGTAACCTAAAATCTTCAATTTTTTTAACTTGCAACTTCTCTCTACCCCTTTCACAATGAATTTTTGACCAACACAAATACCTATCACTCGAAGCACTCTCGCTCTCAAATCACCGTCTCTCTCACACACTCTCTCTCTAATACCCAAAATTGCCCTCTCTAAATGGTCTCTATCTCCTCTCTTTCTAAACAAACAAACCCCAAACTCTCTAAACAAACCCACAGCATCATCTCTCTCTTTGAAATCACCATCTCTCTCTAAAATCTCCATCTCTCTCTATCCCAAAGTTGTAAAGACCCTCTCTACATCGTCTCTCTCCCCTCTCTCATAAGCTGAATATAGCAGCGAGTCTCTCTCTCTCCACCGAATTTCTGAATGTTACTAAAGGCAGTCAAACCTTTCAGCAAAATCACTCTCTCTCAACCAAGCGCAGTAAAATATTTTCTCCTTGTAAAGTCTCTCTCCCTCTCTCTCTCTCTGAGCCAAGTCCTGGTTGTCACAGAGAGCAATACTATCTCTCTTTCAAATTTCTCTCCTTCACTCTGTAAAATCTCCCTCTCTCTCTCTCTAGCGGCAAAAACTTGTGTTGCAAGGAAAGCACCAAACACTTTTAAAATCTCTCTTTCTCTCCCTCTCGTATCAATTGGAACTTTCAAGCTCTCTCTCTCTCTTTCTCTCTCTCTCTCCCTCTAATACCTAAATCCTGTGTTGCAGAGAACAACAAAAGCTCTCCTAAAATTTATCTCTTCTTGATATTCTCTCTCTCTCAACAACAAACAGTTGAATCTCTCTCTCTCTCCCTCCTTCCCTCCACCACACTTAACAGAGAACAGCTGAATCTCTCTCTAATATCCTGCCCCTCTAAAATCCTCGCTCGCTTCACAACACATACTTTAACAGATAGCAGTTAAATCCTCTATCTAAATTCCTCCCTCCCTCACTCTCTCTCTTTCTAGTGACCATCAAATGCCCCCCCTCCTCTCTCTCTCTAAAACGGCTCTGAAGGACAAAAGCGAAGAAAGATCTGAAAAAAAAAAAAGAAAAAAAGAAAAGGCTGCATTTTCCTTATTATTTTTGTTTTACTTGAGTTCTTTGTTTTGAGTTTTGGATTTATTTACTTATTTTATTTTATTTTATTTGTGAGAGGGAGGACAGAGAAACAATGTAGAGAGGGTCTATACAACTTTGAGTATTATAGAGAGAGAGACGGAGGTTTGAGAGAAAGAGAGTGATTTGAGAGAGAGATGGTGATTTGGATTTTTTTAGGGAGTTTGCGATTTTTAGAGAAAGATTGGAGATAAAGACGAGGTAGAGGGGCAACTTTGAGTATTAGAAAGGAAAGAGTGTTGAGAGAGAGAGACGTGATTTAAGAGAGATATAGTGCTTTGAAAAATAAGTGTCATTTTAATTTTTATGTAGGTTAAAAATTTAAAGTTAAAGGGATACAGGGTGGCAAGATAGAAAAAATGAAGACTTTACGCTATAAATAACATTTTCAAATATTAGGTTTGATGAGAAATAAAAATAAAAAATAAAAAATAAGTAGATATTTTCCCTATTATTAATCCCTCTCACCCTCTAACCGGTAACCAAAGAACCCTCACTCGCATCCACCTCTTGCCTCCGATGTCCAATCATATGTGCTTCTCTTCTCCGGGTTTTAGAGCACCTCTGACTCACACTATCCAAGTAAGATTCTAAGATTTTTGCTAATTTATTTATACTACTTAGATGACCAAATATTTATTCATTCTATTGCAAGAAATAAATCATAAAACTTTTTTTCTTTTCCCTATTGCTTCGTTCATGAATACCAATCACGAAGTGTTTAGGCCAGCGTTTTAAAAAATGCCGAGTCGAATCGGACTCGCCCGGTTCGACTCGGAAATCGTGAAAAGGGGACCGGATCGCTTCAAAAATCGGAAATCGTCTGGTTCTAGAGAGAACCGGACGATTCTGTACAGTGAATCGCCGATTCACTGTACGGAATCTGCGAGTCCGAACAGTGAATTGGCGAGTCCATTTACGGTTTTTTTTTTTTTTTTTTTTTTTTTTTTTTTTTGTTAATCCATGATAGATTTTTTTGTAATACTTGATCGATTTTTTTGTAATACTTGATCGATTT